AAAGGTATTTTACTGGAATTCTCCGGATTTTTTTATAATACTATTAGTCTCTACTTTGAACAATAAGAATGTATAATTACTCTCCAAGCTTAACAAAAGAATCGTGATGAAATCGATCATAAACGAAAATGACATGTTCATCATTAATTAATCATAGCTAAGGATTGGAAGCTCATGAAGGACTGAAATAAAGTTCAAATACATATATATATATATATATATATATATATATATATATATATATATATATATATATATATATATATATATTATGGAAAATAAAGCATAATATTTTTTTTAGAAATCCACATTGCAACAAAAAACGTTTGCGGTACCTCTCTTCTTTTTAATATACACACTTTTCTCTCGTTGGGACCACTATAAGCTCTTTTCTTATATCTATATATATATATATATATATATATATATATATATATATATATATATATATATATTCAAGGATCATTTTCCAACTTATTTGAGATGATCTTCGCCCACTCTAACCTTCTAACTTTCTATTCTGGAGTAAAAAGGTGCCTCACACGTTTCACATACGATTTCATTTTAAATCTTTTCCCACTGCTCTTTGGACTGTCATAGATGAAAGACCTCTTTCACGTGCCAAATGTTTTATGAATTGAGTTGGATCTTTTCTAATTGATCTCTTTAGCTCTAAGTTGAAATGATGATCTTGGTTCCTCTTGTTAACTCCTGATCCAGTTTTCCTCTCTACTGTTCCCTCTTTTTTTTAATTATTCCCGTTCTCTTGACTGTCCTGGGTATGACGATAAACTATATTCGCGTCCTGAATAAGACGAAAAACTACATCCTACAGCAAAGCTTCTCATCAGGAGGTTTTGAGGAGCGTGAAACCAACTCTTAATTGACCCGGGGTGGTAGTACCTGTTAGGGTCCCAGCTATGGACAAATAGTTAACACCCAAACTGTGGTCATAACACTATGAAAGAGTAAAAATAGGTTTTAATACCGGCAATACATTTTGGAAGATAAAAACTATTACCAGCAATACATTTTTGGAGAAAAATATTATCAGTAATACTTTTTTGAAGAAAAATATTTACCAGCAATACATTTTTTAAGAAAAAATATTAGCAGCAATACATTATTGGAAAAATATTAGCAGCAATGCATTATTGGAAAAAGATATTACCAGAAAAAAATCTTGTCGATATTAAATAACCATTGAGGTTGATATGACATAAAACAAAACAAACCTTTCTCTTGATGGTTCTTGAATGGACTTTGAAGATTGAAGCCAGAGTATGAATGTTAGTACCATTACTGAAGGTTTGAATAATCTTTTTCCTCTCACTATTGCTCAGTTAGTAAGACAATGGGTCTGACGCAAAACAATTTAACCTGCTCTCTTTCTAGCTGAATAACTCGAAGGGTTTTTCTGCGTTCCTTACGGTAATTGGAGTCAAGATGGCTAAACGTCTTATCTTAAAACCTGGAAAAAAGAAACTCAGTTAGTTTAGTGGGTTTTTAGATATTAGTATATTTTGTTGGATGGGTAATTATGATGTTACACAATTTGTACAATTTTGCTGTTACATCCGGTATGTATAATATGTGTGTGCGTGTGTGTGAACAACGGTTGTCTTTTGAAATACAAAAACCAAAAGAAACAAAACGTTCAAACTAGTGTATTTCTGAAGGTTAAGGCTTCTAACGCAAGAAATGTTTGTAGTCTTACCACGTCTTAGCATGCGAGAAATATGTATAAATAAATATGTGGTATAAAATAAATCATTATATACATGTCTTCTTTCTCAAGTGGGACACAAGGATAAAGGGGGAGAAATGTGTAATTGGAAAAATGTGTTGCACCGGTCTTCTAAATGGGAACATTTGTTTGCATTAAAACTCAACTCTCGAAACCCTTAACTTTACCCACGCTTGAACACTGACCTCTGGAGCTAATTGGGAATGAGTAAACTCTGTTAGGAAAGAAACAGACGAACTAACAGAGTGGCAGCTTGCCCGATGACAAGTCGGTCCCTGATGGAGTGGACCCCGTATATCAAGTAAAAATGCAATTAAGAAACAAATACAGACAATTGTTTTAGTAATAAAAAGGAATAAGAGTAGAACAGCTGCCCGAGGCCGGGCCCTCTCATTGCACTAGAGAGAGGGATCGGTGCTGGCACCGAGGCCAGCGCAACCGACGGTTGCGGGATTCCGGACAATTTTTGTTCCTAGCCCGGGTGTACGCACTCGGGATCCCCACAATAGACCGACCTTGTGTTACAACCTGAGCTCATGAAGTGGGGGGAGTAAATACAAATAAAAAGGAATAAGAACTTTATAAAGTCACCTGCACTATCAGTTACTCAAGTCCAATGTGAGAGGACATATTCAAAGTTAACAATCATAAAGACAAGATTAAGAAATTGGCTGTCTGAGAGGAATTTAGAATCACATTGAAATGGAAATTTTAGATGTATTTGATGTAGAAGCAATTATTGTTAGATTTGCACAATCATCTAGCGAACACAAACCATTGCTTTTCATATAATGGACTGCAAACAATGCTTTATTGTGCTTTTGAACCATCTGTTAATGTGTAAATTGTGAAGTAAACTATTTAAGATATCAACCAGTTAAAATTAAAAAAATAAAATAAAAATTCAAGTATATAATTCTGTATTTATCTACTGCCACTAATATGTATAGTGGATGTACATTGTAATTACTAAGAAATAGCCATTTTTTACACAAAAAAATAATTTTGCCCCTTTTTCCATATGTATTTTTTTTAATTTTGGTATTAGTAATGAAAATTAAATGATAGTATTATAGCTGTGGGTGTGTCCCGTACGTCTCCTAGCAACCAATATTTTTAGACACAGTCTGCCACTGGACCGATGTCCGTTTACTGTTTCCATTTTGTAAAATGCTGAAAGTAATTTTTTACAATTTATCTTTTATTTAATTTTCATATTTATTTTTCTTTTTTTTAGGTAAGTTCCTGAATCTTTTTAAACGATTCTAAATAACACTGAAGATATCCAGGTATGAAACTTTCTATTACATTATTTTTATTTGATTTCAAATTGTTATATGCATGCGTGAACCTGTATGTTTTTCTGTGTGCGTATGTAAGTGTGTATGTGGGTGGGTAATGGACAAAATATATTCAGACATATAGAGAGTTTTCGAATTTCAAAAGAATTACTTGTCAATATTTTCCCGAGTACACCGATCAGTATCGTTATCCACAGGCCTCCTCACACTTTTGTTCTCTTTCTTTCTTTCTTTCTTTCTTTCTTTCTTTCTTTCTTTCGTTCTTCTTTCTTTCTTTCTTTCTTTCTTTCTCTATTCCACTTTGTGTTTTCTATCATTTCTTCTGTCTTCTCTCTATATATATCTTTATTTCTCTTTCTCTTTCGTTCCCTCTCGCTCCCACTTTATCACGCGAGCACTTAAAACCAATTTCTGTCATACAGACAAATTTACGAAGGTACTGAGTTCGATCCCATCAGACCAGCTTAAAATAAAATTGACGACTTTTCACTTCTTAGAATTTCTATTCATGATTATCCTTTCAGCATCATCATCATCATCATCAGTCTCATGTCCAAGTGCGGTCGTAGGGTCGCTGCGCAGCTAAGTGTCTAGCCTCACTTTGGCAAGTAGAAGGGGTGAAGCCCATCCCTATCCAGACCAAACTACAGCTGATGTCCTGCAAATTAAAGGCACGCCTTCGTCATGGACACGTGGCTCTTGAGCTCATCGGACTGGCTGTTGATTTCAGTCTAGGAGGTTCTCTATCCAGCAATGACGTGCCATCACTGCACCGGTCGAAAACATAGCTATGTGGCACACTCTACCCACCTTTGTGTTAGATGGTCGTTCATACAAGAAGGTTCATCCCGCCTTTTAACACGTTTTTAATTTTGCCGTTTATAGCCTGGTCGGGGGGGCAGTTTAGTTGCCGATGACTCACCCGTAGTGCTGGGCTATCAGTAGAACTCGTAGAACTCGTAGAACTAATATTTCGTATCTTTCTGACAAGTTGTCTAACATTTCTCTTCGCACATTCCTATTTCGGATTTTCATACACCAGATTCCCCATATTTACTTTTCACGACATTTGCAATGAAATCCCCCATCAAAAACATGCATTTTTATATACTATTCTTCACCAAATACAAGTCTCAAGAGCCACTCAAGGCAGAGGGTTATTGAATGAGTGTTACCTAGAAATCGACACAGCAGAACATCTCCTTGGGCCAGAAACACCATGCCTAAGCGGTGGCCCAGGCACCGAGGGAAGCTCGCACAATTGTGAGGACAAAAGGACATGACACACAAGAAGAAGAGAGCGGTTACACATTTGGTCTTCTCTTTGTCTATTACCTCACTGCACCGTGGAGTAATGGATAGCGGCTCCGATTGAAGAATCGGGGAGCCGAGTTCGAATTTCAGTCGAATCCATTATATTTACTTACGTGCTAATACCCTTTGGAAAGATATGAATCCTCTTCTTCTCCCCACAACTATGGGAAAAATCAGAACAGACCAGGTTCTATAGCCTTGGATGACAACTGGTCTACCGCAGAAAGAAATGACAACCTACTGCGTCAGTCTTGTATCGAAAGATACATGATCGCCTAAGCGTGTATCACGCATGGCACATAACTGACTGATGTTATCATAAAATACTTCATTGGTCTCAGTTGAACTTTTTTTAAAGTTGGTGCATACACTTAAATTACGTTTGGATTTTGTCTTTTGCGTAATCTAATATCTAATCTATTTTGATATATGTCCAGTGGTGCACGCATTGTTGTTAAAAACTAAAACCCCATCACAAGTATGTGTTTACTTTCGTCCCAGTGTAAGAGAGATCCTCTATAGCCTCGTGTAAACCTCGCGAAAACCTATGATGTGGCAGGTGATGCTATTCAGTGCCATCACCAGCACATACAC